GTAAATACCGAATAGTTTCTCTAGTGTGAGAAACTGAAAGTGTAAATAAGGACTAAAAGGTATAATAGATAATGTGAAATAGGAACAAAAGGGTCAAAGGGTAGGGGAAGTGAGAGGGGTAGTGGAAAGGAAAGAAGGGAATGGAATTAATATGAGAAAATGAAATAAAGGAAACAAAGTCTTTGTAAATACAGAGGGATGGAGGGTTTGTAGGGAGGGTAGGGGAAGGGGGAAAATAAGAACCAAGAGAGATTATGTAAAAGTGCAAATTTCCAATGATGAATGTCATTTTATTGTATACCTAAATTGTACCAATAAAATAAAATTTAAAAAAATATTTTCCTTGATGTCTATAATCAAAGTTGTTTGGACAGTTACTTTATTTATTTATTGTATTATTTTATGTGTTACTATAATCCAAGCATTTCTAAGCAAATGCATTAAAGTTGCAGAAATATTTTGTGAACATGGAAAGATTTTCATATGATCCAGTTACTTTTAAAGAAATTTAATTTTTGTTAAATATGTCAGTATCTATCCCAGTACATTAGTAAATATGTATAGAGAAGTACATGCCATTGAGTACATACTCATACAAATGTGGAAAGGCAGTAATGATGTTCACATGGTGTATGATTTTTTGCTTCTGTGTACTTTCTTATCTTTTAAATTCTTGAAATAAAAAACAATGTACACTTATTTGTAAAATGTGAAAGTAATACAGAAACAATAAAAAGCATATGTTCCTCTCTACTACCAGGTACCCACCACTATACCCTGCCTCTTGAAGTCTCATCTTATCTCCAGGTCTTTTTAGCACAAATATTACATAAATATCTTGTACAAAAATATAGAATTTTGTTAACAATACATGATTATGCTTGAATTGCAATTTTAACTTATCATGTACATTTCCTTTATCAATATAATTCTATTTACTATTTAAACTTTTATACTTTAGGCAATAAATATGTATTACTTTTGTAGGGGTAAAAGAAAAATATCTTTGAAAAATACAGATGTTTACGTTATCATTTGTGTGCATTTTACTAGGTAGTTGAACAAAGAATTGTAAACTGCAATAGATCTTTAGATCTTCGAAATCCTCTATTCATTTAGAGTCTATCTGCTATAATCTCATATTAGGTTACATTTTTAAAAATTTCAAACCCTAAGCTAATTACAGATATGGGTAGGTATACATTGTGGCAGACTCAGATACTAAATGAGAAAAATTAGCCGAAAAAAGGTGAAAGAAAACTATGACAAAATATTCTGTATCATTTAGCATCTGTAGTAGTCTGAGCTTTACATAGCTACTCAATGATGATATGATTTTATGATGTCAAAAACACTAAAATATCTCTGGGAGTTTGATGCTGGAAAATTGTAAGTTTGAGCCTAGCCAGGACCACTTAGTGATTTAGTGAGACCCTGTCTCAAAATTTTAAAAATTTTAAAAGGCTAGGGATGTAGCTCAGTGTATATCCTAGCACCAACTAGCTCAATTCCCTGTGCCCAAAAAAGTTAAAATTTTACTGTAAGAAAGGTGTGATAATTAAAATTTAAAAACTATAGTTATCTCAAACAATGTTTAAGGTAAGGTTCTATTCTTTGATAATCTATGCTGTATCAGTATGTTCTGCTGATCTCCATCCTGAATATGGCTACATCACAGTCACTGGGAATGAAAACAACTGCTTCCTTGGAGATCAATAGCTGCTTCATAAGGGGAAGACAGCCCACATACTTTTCCATTTCATTGCACATTAAAATGTTTTATCAACTATATAAGCTAGTAGTTTTGGCTTCTCAAGAATAATTACTTTCTGGAAATGTAATATAACGGAAGCCTTAAAGGTTTAGTCCAAGAATTTTCAGAGATGCTTATACATCTGAACTCCAATATTATCAGTAACTTGCACAGTGTAGCTTTGGAGTTAAAAAGATTAAGGGATACATAGAGGAGCTACAGGACAAATTTAGTGAATTCAAGACCTGTTCCTTTTATATCTTCTAGCAAAATTTGGTAAACTCTTGTTATGGCCTATAGTTAGATTACCCCTAATGCCTCACGCAGTCATAGGTGGGACCTTTGGAATGAGATTGGATTATAACATCATAGAGCTGATTTGGCGTTGACTCTCTCTGCTTCCCCACCATCCTCTGCCATGCTGCCCTGCCTTGGAACTAGCTGATATGGACTGAAACCTCTATAATCTGTGAGCCAAAATAAACCTTTTCTCCTTTAAATTGCAGGTGTTGGGTATTACGTCTCATTGATAAGAAAAGTGATTAAAACACTTCTAATACAAAACTTTTTCCAATTCCAATGGAAAGAGCTTTGGGTGACTAATTTAAACTGTCCACATTTGGCTATGTATGAAAACCGCCCTCAACACATAACTATGCCTTATCTGGCTATAAAAACTTCATACTTAGGAACACACAAGTTAATAGAACAGAGTCTGTCAGCTCCTCCTCACTGCCTTTCCATTGCTGTGCTGAATTCATCTATCCTTAGACCATAGTGCAACAGAACAGAAACAAAAACAAGAAAAACCTCTATGCTATTTTCCTTTACCAAGTTCTTTCCTATCACTTCATCTTCTGATTTTCTATTTAATCTGAGTTTAAAATCTATGTAAGCTAAATTCCAGAGTTATTTCTAATTAGCACACACTAAAATTGCATATGAGGACAATTCTTGCCTGGAAAGCAACATGAACATTCTTACCATTAATACAGCAAAATTAGTAGTATGATTGCAGCGGCAGCCCAGGAATCTATCAGTGCTCTGGTCTTTGTGACAGCCGTATGTGTCCCAATCTTTTGTTAAGAAATTCCAGTAGACACAGGCATAAGAACTGAGTTGAAATTCTTTTTGGTTGTACTGTGAATTGATAAGATAATTACAATTACTGATATTTAATGCTTAACTGGTTAGAAAAAAATCTAATAGGATCGATAGTCATAAGAGAAATAAATTATATTAAATATATGTTAAGAAATAACATTTTTATTATAGATTCGGGGGAAAGGTTGTAAAATTCAAATTAGTTAACCTTGTATTTAGCTACTTTGACAAACAATATGGGTAGTAGAAAAATTTTAATGATTATTTTAAAGAATCTTTCAAGGAGGGCCGGGGGGGTTAGTTCAATGGTTTCGTCACCTGTTGCACAGGCACAAGGACCCAAGTTCGATCCCCGGTACCAAAAAAAAAAAAAGAATCTTTCAAGGAGATTTTCTTTTTATTTCTTTTACCCAAATGATTCCTGTTTCTGTAATGAAGAATGGTCTGGATTTTTTATTTCTGTTAATTGGAAAACTTACCTTTGGACTAAAGACCATTTTAACAGAAATACTCTGATCTTGCTCATTTCCATCCACTTTGCTTGAGATAATTTTTTGACTAAAATGTGACCTAGTTGTAAAAGTTTTTGATTGAAAAAGTTTGTTGTTTTGATACACTACAAAGCCACATTTCTTAGTGTTATCTGTGGAGGGGAAGGGAGACATTAAAATCAATAAATGAACTTTAAGATAAACAGGAAACCAAGTTCTATGTCATTGTTGAACCACATGGCTGCTTAATGTTTGAGTAAAGTATATAAAAATAGTTTGCTGACTAATCCTTTACTTAACTTCTATATGTTTTTGTGATATTATGCATAGTTTGGCTGTCCTCCATGGTTCCTGGCTCATTTCTCCCTACACTCGAAGCAGGCTGTAGTAACTAGAATTTCTCTTCCCAAGCCGAGTAACAGAAACTCTAATCTTCCACTAACTTTCTGTCTTGGACATGGCTATCAAGAAATTCTCTGCCTTACCTGATAATGATAGATCATAGGACCCCCAAAGGAATGCTGCAAAAGGGTCCAAGAAGAATCTGACCATGAAGCCTTTGCTGGCTTCACCAATTCAGTCTGTTAGTATTAGATCATATTTTCTGTCCAGTCATATTTCTACACAGATGCACATACTTCAGCCAGGCACATGCTATGAAGTTTCTATAAAACCCCAAAAGGTCAGGGTTCTGAGAGCTTCAGAATAGCTGAACATGTGGGGATTTCTGGAGGATGGTGAGTCCAGAGAAGGCATGGAAACTCTGTATCCCTCTACCCATAGCTTACCCTGTATCTCTTCATCTGTATCTTTTGTTATATTCTTTATAATAAACAAGTAAAGTTGTTTCTCTGAGTCTATAAGCTGCTCAAACAAATTAATGGAACCCAAGATGGTGATTATGGGAACCTTGATTTATAACTGGTCAGTCAGAAGCACAAGTAAAATAACCTGGGGTTTGCAACTGGCAACATAATGGTGGAGAGGTATTTCTAGATAGATAGTGTCAGAATTGACTTAAATGAGTCAGCTGGTGTCTATTGCAAAAATAATTATTTCATGTGTGGGGAAAAGCCTTCACTTATGTAGAAGTGATCCATATTGTAAGACTATAGTAGGAGAAACTAAGTCTTATTTATTTTGCCCTGTATCTTCAAATTGATTAACATATATTACCCATGCTTAGCTATTTTAACCAAATTAATATTTTTCTGAGGTTCAGTTTCCATATCTTCTATGTGGGAACAATATTTTATGCCTAGTATACCTCAGGGAGATATTTAGAGTATCTCATGAATAAAGTAAACATCCTACTTCCTATGCAGTAGGATGGAGTAAACATGAAGTACATTTCCGAGCTTTGATGCTTCTCCAACTTGTATTACATGGGACAGAAAGCAGCAAAGGTTGACTATCAAGATGGCTGTGCATACAGAGGGGCCCCATGAGGTCAGCCTTCTGTTGAAAAAGACTCAGAAGAGACCAGTGGTGTTAAGTCAAGAGCAAGGAGGCCCTTTCAGTGGAGTTTTGGAGCAGGCACTCTTCACCATCACTGCTATATCATAATAAATATGGGCTTATCCTAAGGCCAAAAGGCTATTGTGAAGCATCTCTTGACACTGGAAAAAAAGTCAGCCATTCACCAAAGATGCTGGAAAGTCCTGACCAAGGTAGGTGGTGGGTAGCTGCACTGGGTCTGGCCATGGCATTAGTCAAACAGAACCAGCTGACAAATACCTCCTATGCCTGCTTTTTTAAAACAAGAGTTTTTTAAACAAAAGTAAAATGGCAGAAGAAAAAAACGTAAGTAAATAGACATTACACATGAATAATTGCCTACACTCTCCTGGTTTTCACAAGTGACACAAAAAAACCATAGGCTGATAGAATTCCCTACTCAGTCCTGAGACTTGTGACAGCAGGTCGGGCAAGGTCAGGACAGTCCCACGTGTGCTTATATACTTGCAATGTTCTAGCCTCTACTTGGAAAAGTGCGAGTTTCTGGCATTTTTCATGGCACACTGAGCTCACTAAACTGTTCCTCCTGGACACTGGATAAAAAAGTTAAACCTAAAAATACAGTAAGGCTTCATTTCATTCTCTTTATTTTTATTAAAAGAGTGACATGCTTAAAGTAAAATTCAAATTTGTACAAGCATACAAAGTTTTTAAAAATGAGAACTCTTGATCACGCCTGTCCTTAATCTACGATATTTAGGTCATTTATTGGAAAATCATTATTTTCATAAATACTTAAATTCATTAGAAGAAATTGCATTTACTCTTATCTTGTAATTTTTTTAAAACTCCATATTTCATTTTATTGACTGTAGCATTTGTTAATTTTTATTTTTATTCATATATATCCTTATATTTATTAACTCCTTCCCTCTGGTCTTCTTTACATTTATTTTATTTTTATGCTTCCTCAGCTGAATGGTTAGATCTTTTCTCTAAATTATTTTCTAATATATTTATTAGAAACATCTTTTTTTTCTTTCTTTTTTTTT